TTTTGAGAAACGATGTACAAATGCGCTTTACACAATTGATGTGTGTATGGATTGGGATAACAGTTGTATGAGCCCCTAATAAAATGTTAAAAAAAAAAATAGTTGTAGCCTCATCTCCAGATGTCACCAGGGTGGAAGAACTCATCACCAGCCATGCATACAAAATGGGTTAAATTATTGTTACCTTGAGCAAGTATCCATTAATCATGAGCTCTTGGAAGGGCTTCATGGTGAGAAAAGCCTCCAGTTGGTACAAGCATGGGAGAAGTAGGTGCTGGTAACTGGGGGGCACAGGTAAGAGACACCTCCTCTGTCTTGGTGTTCCAGTTCCCCTGACCAGGGGGATGTGGACACCGAGAAGGTGAGCAGGAGCAAGGCAGGTGAAGAACTGAGCTTACTGGGTAAAAGCGCTCTGCTGGTGAGTGCTGAGGAAGGCAGGACTGTAGTGGACTATAGTGAATGAATGGCTGAAGACACGGTTACAAAGTTGGGAATTGAGGAAGGGACTGAAGTGGCTCTGATCTCAGATCTGAGCTCATCTCAGATAATCAGAGCCACTTGAATCAGTCACCTTCCTCAGTATAATAAAATATATTAATGGAATAAAATCACTTCATAAAATAAGATCTCCGTGTTTTGCATCTTTGAAGATCAGAACTGCCAATTAAAAACATGGGGGTCTCATTTTATTAATATATTGCTTCCCGGTAGGAAGAGTTCCACTTCACTAACTGCTGTTTTCCTCTCTAAAGAAAAGGACGGTTGTTACCAACCTGAATGGTCACACTGCTCGAGTCAATTGCGTGCAATGGATCTGTAAACAGGACTGTTGTAAGTATTAACTTGATAAAGCTGGTTGTCCTGTTTTCTGAGAAGGGTGGTTAGCTTGTAAACAACAGCTTGTATTGAGTTAGATAGTGGACTACTAACCAACAGTAGCTCCATACGGGAGAAGATGAGGCTTTCTGCCTCCTTAAAGAGTTGCAATCTTAGAAACCCACAGGGTCGGTCATAACCTGTCCTAGCGGGTTGCTGTGAGTTAAAATCCGCTAAATACCAGTAAAATGGTATTTTACAGATTTTCAGTTAAATTTCTATGGTTGATATTATATAGATCAAAACAAACACACTGCCATCTAACTGACTCTGACTCTTAGCAATTCTGCATGAGCTTTTTGCGGTGATGAATCTTTACTGGAGCCTCATCTTTTCCCTGTGGACTCACTGGAGGATTTGAACTGCTGGCCTTGAGGTTAGCAGTGCTGGGCTTACCCGACAGTGCCAGCATAGCTCCTTGCAGAAGCTCGTTGGTATCCTCTACAAGGTTTTTGCATAGTGAAACCCGTGAGACAGGTTTTCTGCCTTGGACAGTGTACATTTGTGCCATTTTTTTAATTGATCATTTTGTTAAAAAGTAGTGAGTTCTCTGACTTGATAGCATTGAGGTTTGTTGCTTTAAATTTAAATATGTAGTTAGGAGCGCTGGTGACACAATGGTTAAAGCCTGCCCTTTAACAGAAAGGCCCGTGCTTCAAGCCCATCATCTGCTCAGTTGGGGGAGATGAGGTGGTTTCTGTCCTTGAAAGATTTACAGCCTTGGACGCCCATGGGGAAGTGGTATCTGTTCTATAGTCACTGTGAGTCAGAATCCACTGGACAGCCGTGATCGGGTTTGGTTGTAGTTAGGACGGTTGTCAACCTAAGTTAAGTTTATTTCTCATTCAGAAAATGTTTATTGAGAGTCTTTCTTTCTTTTAGGCACAAACTCAATTTGCTGAATTAGTGAATGAAACTATGCATAGATTTTATCTGTGATGTTAAAAAGTAAAATATTACAAAGGATGGCTGTTGGCATGGTTATTAAAACAATTGGAATTATATTGGTTGCCACCAAGTGACATCAAAGATCATTTGAATATCAGTATAGGGATCCATTTTAAAATATCAATCAGGGTATGTATATTTTGTCCTCCCTTTAAATAGTTAGACTACATAAAACGAATTCCTTGAGAGCACTGTCATCTGTAGCAGTTATTAATTTTCTCCAAAATGGGATTCATCCACTATGTAATTCTAAAGTACTCCGTTTAACCCATATGATTAAGATATTTAAAGTTTTAACTACCACCATTTCATATTTTTAACACATCTTATTTTTAACCACTTTCGAGTAGCTTATAATTCTCTAAGTCACATAGTTAGGTAAGTGGCTTAATATCTGTGGAATGAGGAAATTAAAGGCTGTGATCACAATTAGCAGGCACAAAATTGAGACTTAAGCCTGGGACTTATGAGAGCAAATTTAATGTTCTTTCCACCTTAGCTTCTGTTTCTGTGTCTCCCATGTAAACCAGAAGAAACAGATAAGTGGAAAATCCAAACCAAAATTATGTTGTTATCCTTCTCCTCTTTTATTTATTTAGTTTCTTATTTCTTGTTCTATTATCAATAATTTAAATGTTCAAAAGAACAGTTTTGAAGTTATACATCTGATACTTGATAGCAGCCCTTTTTTAAAAAAAAATCATTTTATTAGGGGCTCATACAACTCTTATCACGATAGCAGCACTTTTAAGACAATGAGACATCCCTTCTATCTCACACACAGGTGCTTTAGAAATTTCGTGAAAAGATCCCATTGTTTTTTTTTTATTCATTTTTTGGTGAACTTTTTGAAACGTCTTCATAGATATGATTCTTGGCAGATGTATTGAGATGGAATCTAATCATGAGCAAACAGACAAATTCAGATGGAGGGGCATTCTGCAAGCACCTTGCCTAGGCACTGATAGTCACCACAAAGAATGAGAAAACTGGGAAACTGTTCTAGATTCCAATCAAGCCAAAAAGAAAAAAAAAAAAAAACACCTCACTGCCCGTAAGTCAATTTCAACTCATAGCAACACTGGGACAGAGTGTAGAACTGTCCCCGAGACTGTCAATCATTGCAGGAATAGAAAGTCTCCTGTCTCTCTTGTGGATCAGCTGCTGGATTCCAACTGCTAGCCTTGTAGTTCACGCCACCAGGGCTCCTAGATAAAAGGAGATAAAACATATACAATGTATAATCCTTCAATAGATTCTGGATGCAAAAAAAAAGACAAAAGATATTAGGACAAGGCAGAGAAATTGCAATATGGACTATATATTGTTTCATAATACCGTGCCAAAGCTAAAATTCTCGAACGTGTTTGTTGTACCAGTAAGGACTGGAGAAGGGAGCCGTGGTGGTACAGTGGGTTAAGTGTTGGGCTCACAACTCCAAGGTGTGCAATTCAGTCAAGCCCGCCAGCTGCTCTGAAGGAGCAGGCTGAAGTCGTCTGCTCCGGTAGAGATTTGCAGTCTTAAAAGTCATAGGTAGCAATTCTGCCCTATCTTATAAGATCGCTGAGTTAGAAAGGGACTTGAGAAAAGGCAGTGGAGGGAAGAATGTAGAAGGATGTTGTAGATCCTTGGAAACAAATGGTAAAGGATTTTAGAATCAGAGACCATGATGTCTGGAACTTACTCTGAAATGGTTTGGATGAACTGTGTGTGTAGTGAGCAAGATATTAAGTACATAACCTGCATGACAAAATATTAAAAGATATTTTTACAACTTTTTGTAGCTTTGACATTTTTCATAATGGCTGGGGGAAATGAAAAATATTTACCAAATTATTTTTTTCAGCTCCTCCTACTGAATTGGTTTCTGGAGGATCCGATAACCAAGTGATTCACTGGGAACTAGAGAATAACCAGGTTGGTGGTTAGCTTATGATTATAGAAATGAATGTTTTATCTATACTTATTTTTATTTGCACCTTAAATTTTTTTTTGCCATTTTCTTCCTTTGTAAAGCTCCTTCGAGCTCGCTTATCAGTAACCCGCATGCAGAATCTCTTGGACTTCACAAGTCCTTACTTGTTCTCTTAGCCTGGCTTCATGGTGCCAGTCCTTACGTGAGTTTTCAGTCATCCTGGGAACAATATCTCACATGGGGTATTGCTCTTTCCGTTAGCAGCCATAGTAAGTATTCGTACTGCTATGTGGATAGAGTGGCTGTCGCCTTGTGAATGTCTTGTCGTCAAGTGTGACCGCGTTGCTTTTGACTCAGCGACCCTGTTGCAACAGACGGAAACGCTGTGCCATTCTGACTGTTGCTGGCCCCTGTGTCAGTTCATCTCACTCAGGGTCTTGCTCTCTTCCTTGACCTTCTACTTCACCAAGCACGATGTCTTTCTCCAGGGACTGGTCCACTGATAACGTGTCCAAAGTAAGTGAGATGACGTCTTGCCATCCTCATTTCTGAAGAGAACTCTGGCTGTACAGATTTCTTTGTTTTTCTGATAGTCCACAGAACTTTCAATGTTCTCTACCAGCTTCATAGTTCAAGCACCTCAATCCTCCTTTGGTCTCCTTTATTTACTGTTCAACTTTCAAGAGCATATGAGGCCATTGAAAGGCCATGGCTTGGGTTTAGGCATGCCTTAGTGCAGGGGTCCTCAAACTTTTTAAACGGGGCCAGTTCACTGTTCCTCAGACCGTTGGAGGGCTGGACTATAGTTAAAAAAAAAAACTATGGACAAATTCCTATCACACTGCACTTATCTTATTTTGAAGTAAAAAAACAAAATGGGCAAAAACACCTGGCGGGCTGGATAAATGTCCTTGGCGGGCTGCATGTGGCCCGTGGGCCATAGTTTGAGGACCCCTGCCTTAGTGAATGTAAATTGTGAAAGTAGATTTATATAATTCTGAGTAACATTATATCATACACTGTACAGATCATTCTCTATCACTGGACGTGTAGGTAATTTCTGTTTGTAAGCCAAGATTAATACACCAGATACTTGAGCCCTTGCCATAAAGAAGATACCAGTGAGACAGAGTCCTCCCATGCATCATCATGCATCAGAGAGGACCTGCTTCAAAAGATTCTCTTGGCTGCCGTCTTTGTGGAAGCAGAGCACCAGGCTTTTCTTTCATGGCACCACTGGGTGGGTTCCTATGGCCACACTGGATTAGCAGCCAGGTGCAGCCTGCCATGCAGAGGCCTCTAAATTGCCCTGCCATAGCACAGTGTCTGAGACCAGAAAAGAGCTAAAGGTGACTTTTGAGTTGGGATGGGGTCTGGGAGTTCAGGTAGATGAAACAATCAGACTGAAGTGTCAGAGGAGGACAGGAATGATGAGTATCCAGTTCAGCTGGAGCATTACATGTCTGCAGAACAGGACTGCCCAAGGTTTGTTCTGAGTATTATTTGTCTCAAGAAGTTCATGATAAAAGGAATAGAGGGCCAGTCAGGTGTGGGAAGCACTAAGTGTCTTTAGAAAATTACAGTGCACAGAGCATAATGACTGACGGCCTTGGGAAGTTTCTGTATGAAGGAACCTTACTGCTTTTGTTTAATGAGCATCTCCCAAACAGTTTTCACGTTGGAAACTTAATAGTTTTCCTTTAAAATGAGTATTCCTTGGATCTCTGAGGAGCACGTGGGAAATGTTCCCGCCGAGACCTAGGGATAGATGTAGACTAGAAGAAGATATGTAGCACTTTGAATCTGAGCTTTAAGAGTGTGTTGTTTAACCTTATCCTTTGATCTCCCTTTTGACCCATTTTAAATTTGTTCTGGTTTTTAAGGTGTTCTGCTTTCTGTTCAATGAGAGTTTTTCTCTTTTTTCCCCCCATTGTTCTTGGTCTTGTGTATGTTTTCTGCATATGAAATCTAGGACAGGTAAAGTACAGAGACAATAACTGGATTAATAATTTCCTAGTAGCCTTGGTGACGTAGTGGTTCCTCGTAGGGCTGCTATCTGCAAGGGCAGCAGGTTGGAATCACCAGCGTCCCTGAAGGAGGAAGAGGGGACTTCTGTTCTTTCAGAAATGCACAGAAGCAGCTCTACTCTGTCTGCAGGGTTGCTGTGAGTTGGCATGGAGTCAGTGGCAGGGAGGGGTTCTTTTTTTTTTCCTTTTGAGGGACATGGCAGGGGGGAGTTGGGGAAGAAATAGGGCACTCACAACAATGAGTGTAAAAAAAGAAAATTCTCAAATTGATTGTGATGACTGCATAACACTTCCTAATGGACTGAACTAATGACTTGTATGATGTGTGAATTATGTGTCAATAAACCTATTTTTTTAAAATCACTTTATTAGGGGCTCATACAACTCTTATCAGAAATCCATACACACATCAATTGT